CAGCTTTGAAAACTTAGAGGTGCGGAGAAGCACAATGGATTGTTTTTATTATTTGAAATAGTAAGTTGTCTATTAGGTGCCAGGGACTGAATTTTATAAAATTTGTTGAAGAAGAGGAGAGGCTTGTAGGTAGGTCCTCTGCCTGCCTGCTTTTCTTCCAGAAACATTTAATAAGCTCCATGCCTGGGGACCTGTGTGGGGTACAGGGGATCCAGTGATGAGTCAGACATAGTCCCATGGTCCCTGCCCTCAAGAAGCTGCTATTCTAGTGGGGGAGTAAGGCAAATAAAGATACTTGTACAGTTATGGGCTCAGTGCTGTTAGGGAGGCTCGTGGGGGCACAGAGGAGGGACATCTAAACCAACGGTGCAGGAGAGGGAGGGGTTGGGAAGAGGTTGGTCAGGGAAGGCTGCCTAAGACAATGATCTATCAATGGTAGGATGCTGGGTCCCAATCCTTACAGGGGGTGTGAAATCCACTTAGTGCATAGTAACCAGAATCTTTTAAAAAATAGAGAATATCCTCGTACATCTTATGTACAAAGAATACCACAAATGTGTGTGTGTTTGTGTGTGTGCTGGGTTGCTTACTTCAGGTCAGGGTCCAAAGGTTTGAGAGCCACGGTCTGAGAGGATTCTTGCCGGCCCGGATCCCCAAAGCCTGGCACACTGTTGGCACTCAGAAGCTTCTTGATGAGTGGAAGGCTGGATTTAAATTCTCACCACCATCCAGCAAGCAGGTACCATCCTCCCCAGGTAAGAAAGGCATTGTCAAAGCTCAAGTCTAGCAAACCCGGGTTTGTCGAGCGTGCTTGGCACTCAGCCATCGGCAGTTCAGCAGGCTAAGGTTTTCCAGTCAGGCCTAAAGCAAGCTTCTCTGCCTGGGGACTGAAGCCAGGGCGAGGCGGGGGGAGGAGCCGGGGCCGTCCGGAGAGGCCCGAGGGTGAACCAAAGGCGACCCTTCTGCGGGTGCCCCAGCCCATGACCTCCTATAAAAAGAGTGTCCCCGGCTCTGACCCACCCAGGTGGCATGTACTTGATAATAGCAGTAGCTCAGGCCACTCTGTTTATCCTGGGATGGCCTCAGACACCACCATGGGCCTGCATCACCAGCAGCCCTGCATCTTCAGGACGCCAACAGGAAGCACTGTTTATGGGGGCAGACCAGAATGCAGGGGAGAAAGGGCCCCAGAGAAAACAGGAGATGGACAGAAGTCCGAATCGGTCCCTGGCAGGGTGAGGTGAGTCAAAGGTAATGACTAGGTGGCCACAAACAGAGACTCCTTTTAGTGGTTTTCAGGACACTCCAAACTCCAGCTGTCCTATAATATCAGGACCAAAATACCCCTTGGCTACCTTTCTCCTCCATCGTAGACTCTTAAGGTTGGAAGGACCCTAGAAATTATCCAGCCTGACTCCTTCATTTTACAGATGAAGAGCAAGGGGCCCAGAGAGGGAAGGCGCTGGCCCAGGGTCAGCCAGCAGGCAGCCCGAGAGCTGGGCCAGGACCTGGAACCTGGGTCTCTGGCACACAACACTGGGGCCTGAGGCCCTTCGGGTGCCCTCTCCTGCCATTTCGCCATCTTTCCTATCTAGTCTCACCCCCTTTGGCCCCTTCTCTATATGCAGCCAGAGAAATCCCTAAATGATGATTCAGTTACTACTCTACCTGCCCGAAACCTTCCCTTGTTCTGCCGCTGCCCTTGGGTGGAAACCTATTGCCCGCCCCCTTCCCACCCCTTGCGTTTCCTCTCTTGCTCTTCTTGCCCTGACATATTGTTGTCTCCTGCTCCCAAACTACTTGTAGCCCCATAAATGTGCAGTGTTCTCCCCCATCTTATCCTTAGTACATGCTGCTCCCTCTGCCTTTCACTCTTCCCGACCCTGCTGCACTTGTCTGCTCTTCTTTAGGCTTCCCGTTAGATCTTGCTCTTTCCAGGACACCTCCCTGGCCCGCTGACCCTGACCTCCAGGTTAGGTATCCCTACTACATTCCCTTGTAGCAACTCAGATCTACCGTCAGTTTCTCCTGCTCCCTGAGAGAAGACTCTGTGATGCTACCAAACCCAAAATCAGATCCACAGCAACTAGTCAATAAATGTTTGTTGACCAAATGGTCATCAGTGTCCGTCCTTCTCCGAACCTCCTAAGAATGGCCTTCCATTCTCATGATGCATTTTTCAAAGGCTATTTTTTTAGAGCAGTTTTAGGCTCACGACAAAATTGAGAGGAAGGTACAGAGATTTTCGGTATGCCCACTACACCCACGCCTGCGTGGCCTCCCCATTATCAACCCTCTCCACCTGAGTGGTACATTTGCTGAAGCTACACCTCATAGTCATCCAAAGTTTACAGGTGGGTTCACTCTGGTGTAGTACATTCAGCGGGTCCGGATGAATGTATAATAACATGGAGCAGGTGACCACGTATCATACAGAGTATCTTCATTGCTCTAAAAATCCCCAGTGCTCTATCTGTTCATCCCATCACACATTTTCAAATTTTTTTTTTTTTTAACCAAGCACGGCTTTTGCCCAGAGGATTCTGGGAGCCACAATTTCTGATTCCCCAGCCACGCCTTGACTTTTTTTTTTTCATGCCTCTGTGTCTTTGCACGTACTGTTCCTCTACCTGGAATGCCCTTCCCCAACATGCCTGCTAACGAAATCCCTGCTCATTCTTTAAGACCCGTCACTTCCGGTCCCTTTTTCCTGACTGACACCCTGCATCTCAGCCAGATGATGAGTTCCCCTGCTCAATCGCCCTTCATCCCCCAGGAACTCCCCCCTTGGAGGGAGTGAGGGCATCTTTGTCCTCGTATGAAGGATACTTGCAACCAGTTACACAGAAAGGCACACACACATGTTATCTTTGCAGGACAGAAGAGTGTGTGTGGATGCTGACCAATAACCAAAGGGCAGGGGCACCGTGCCAGTGATGAGGCTACTCTCAGCTCCAAACCTGCCCTTCTCTTCTCACTTTGCAGTCGGGACCGGGACCACACGACTGACATTTCTGCTCTGCCGATTGACCCCTAGTTAGATGCTGTAAGGCATGCACGCGGAGGCAGAGGGGACACGTTCTCTTCTGGGTGGCTTGGTGCTCCTGTCAGTGTCATGTCAGCAAAAGGCCGATTCACTTCCAGTTTCCAGTTTTCCCCCAGCTCCTAGCATCAGCTTTATAGGCTCTCTCTCCAGAGGCCCCACTGGGCAGTGGGCCCTGCTCAGAGGTCTGGGTCGCCCCTTCTGGGGGTCCCCCTCTCGACCCTCTAGGTTCCAATATCCCAGCCTCAGACTTTCCCCTCCAGAAAAGGGGGGCATCGCTGCTCCCTGCAGTAACTTTCTCTGCTCCCTCAGTGCCCTCCTTTTGCTTTTTCAGTTCTCCAGTATCTCCTGATATTAAATTCTCTCTGTTTTCCTGACTGGACTCTGCCTGATACAGAGACAGGGTTCCTGCTCACATGGATCTTACAGTCTAGGGGGAGAGACAGACAGATGTTCAGCAACTACTCACACAAATGAGGATTTAATTACAGTTCACATAAGTGCTGGGAAGGAAAAGCACAAAGTATATTAGCATGTGAATGGCCCTGGGAAGCCCTTCAATAGATGAAACTGTTTAGCATTGTTTAACTCAGCATCTCTTCAGTTTCCTTGATCAAGAAACTTCGTAGTGAGCCTATTAATGCCCAGAAGAATTAGTGTTCCACACAGTCTACTCTGTTAATGGAAAACCGGAAGTCGTTAAAGAAACTGCCAGGGGACTGGGAGTGTGAGCATTTGCCATGTTCCTCCAGGAGCACCAGTGGCTCAGGGCCCTCTGAGCTCTCAGCTCCAGCATTCAGCCACATCAGCTGACAATCCCCTTTGCTCTTATTCCAGCCCTACAAAGGCAACTTTCTGATCACCACTGACTCACCGAGTAAATGTCCCTGTAGGGAGAGGAGGCTCTCATCAGCCGGTCCGGGCCTCCTGGTCTCCCTGGCAGTTTCTTTCTCATTTTAGAGCAGAGTTTCTTGACCCGGGTCTTTAGAAGAACCCTCTTAAGACTATATGCAAAATGTGCATGCGTGTGCGTGTGCATGTGTGTGAACATGTATGTTTGTGTGTGTGCACATGTGGCCATTTTTCTAGGAAGAGGGTGCATAGTTCTTGTTATTCCTTGTGGGACTGTGACTCTAGGAAAGAGAAAGGTTAGGAATCACCATGCTAAAGGAAAATGTTCTTGTTCTAATGTGTACATGGGCCTCCTGTGAGTTTGGTTACTGTGAGTCTCAGTCTGATCAGCTTGCATTCACTTACCGACAGAAGTTCTGGATCCTCCAAGGTACTCCCCCTGGCTGAGGGGCCAGCCAGCATTCTTGGACCACATGCTATCACGCACCTTCTCGACCTTTTTCCCTGTGATCAACTCCCAATTATTCTCTGGGTCTCATTTTAGCTGTCATTTCCTCCTTGAAACCCTCTGACTTTCCAATTCTGGATGAGGTACCCCTTCTTTGTGCTCCCACAGCATCACTCCCTCCTCCCTGGGACTCCCCACCATTACCTCCCCGCCACCCCCATCGTGGGCCGTGTTTTCCCCTTTCGTTGTGCTTTTCCGACGACGCAATCAACCCTTTCTGGTACTTGTCTGCTATCTGTCGAAGCACAGGGGTTTTGTGTCTAGCTTTGCCCAGCTTTGCTGCCCACACCAAGCACAGCATCTAGCACACAGTCAGTGTTCATTAAATACCAGTCAAAGGAAAGCATGCGGAAATCTGTAGTTTAATCCTTTTAGTGCTACCCTCCTGTGCTCTCGCAGGTAACCACTACTGTCCTTGGCTTCACTCCATGACTACGCAGAGACTCATCAGCCGTGAGAACTCCCGACTGTGAACCGTTCAGATCATAATTTTTGTCTTTTGTCAGCAAAAGTTTCTTTCTCACCAACATATGCGCACGGCTACGTGTGGGCGAGAGAAGAGAAAACGCGCGGCCCGGCGTGTCAGGATGGACATACCTGCATTTCTCAGAAAGCGGTTCCTATCGTCCTTGACTATCCTCGTGGCCGGGTTATAGAAGCCATCTCCACAGTCATAACAGCCCTGAGGGATTTTTCTAGGTGGGTCCATGTCGGTGAGTTGAGAGATACCTTGAAAGGGTACAATGGATAATTAACTGGCCACCAAGGCCAAACCGAAACCCAGTCCCCCTCAAGTCCACGTTTGTCCGGTTGCCCATGTGACGAAACGTTCCCTCTTCAGAGCGTGGAGCAAAAGCAATGGGAGCAGTGCCCCAGAGCAGCTTCCTGAAAATGGCTCTGGGAGCAGGGGCTTGGGGACTAGACCCCCAACTTGTTCCCTTGACCCCATCCTCCATTTCTGGGGACACCATGACGAGGGCGTAGGTTCTGGAGGCAAAGAGACCCTGAGGATGCATCACAGTCGGCCGTGTGGACAGAAAGGCGTGTCTAGAGGACGGATGGCATGCAAGGGGTGGGCAGAGCCCAGACGTGAGCCATCAGGCCTCACCCAGGAAACCTGGTGGGGCGAGGCGTGTGTAAGGAGAAGAGCAGGAAGAAATGGGTCAGGAGGGCAGGGATCAACCTTGACTCTTACCAGAATTACCACAATGGCTGCCATTTAGTGAGTGCTTATCCAGTGCCTGGAAATTCATTAAATGCTTGACTCCTACTACTTCACTTAATTCTCACAGCAACCCTGGGGCCCCATTTACAGAGGAGAAAACTGAGGCTCAGAGAGGTCAAGTAACTGGCCCCAGACTCTCCAGCTAGGAAGCAGCGAGGCACGCAGCCGCGAAACTTGTGCGTTAGGCTGCTGACACTGGAACCACCAGGGGCTCAAGAGGGTTTGGTGCACTTTGTAGGTCACACTGCTCTGTGTGTTGTATATCTTGGAATGCTGAGGCCTGAGTAATGGGTACAAGTTTGGAATAAATAACTTCTCGGGTTCGTTCTGACTTGCGTTTCCTGTAATTCCCTGTTCTCTGGACTGAGGCCTGGCTGCCCACCAAGCATAGCACCCTGCTCCCGGTGCAGGGTCCGGTCCTGCACCCAGGCGCTCTTCTGCACGTGTGCACACTGTTGGCTCACAGTTACTGGGCTCTCGCTCCATGCCAAGCGCTTCCCGGTCAGTCTCTCCCCGGAGCCTCATGCTGCTGGGGAAGGGGCTGCTTGAGCTTCTCCCTGCCCCTGAGGCCGAGAAGCAGCTGTTGCAGGGCCCTGCCGAGTGCCTGGGGACCTGGGAAGGCAGCGGGTACTTGGGATGAAGTTGCCGTGTTAGGAGTCGCCAGAGGAGAAGGAAGGATGTGGGGAGGGTCACCGCACTGCCTGTGAGCCTGGCAGAGCCCTGCCTTTGACAAGACCAGCCGCTGTGTGACAGCTGAAGGCCTGAGGCCTGGGGCTCTCTCTTCGCCTACAGGCTTCCGTTGGGGTGAGGAGCCCATGACAGAGTCCAGGCCCTGTCATAACTAACCCAGGAGGAGCCACGGACAAAGTTCTCAAGGGGGATCTAGACTGGCAGCTCCTTGAAGGCAGAGACTGTCCCCTGGGGACCAGCCAGTGTCTGACACAGAGTAGGTGCTCACGAAATCTAATGTTATGGCCTTACCCCCCATGCCCCATCTCCCCCTGCTGTGATGTCAGTATTATCCTCCCTGGGTAACTCTTTACTGAGCGCCTACTAAGTGCCAAGCAATGTGCCAGGCACTGGGGACACAGGGGTGATGAAGACAGAGCCCCCGCCCTCACGGAGCTCAGGTGGCATGGGAAGAGAGACGCTGTGCACTCATGACAGAGCTCTGGGAACCAGCCCTGGCTGCTCTGTGGTATGCCACAGGGAGACCTCGCCTCGTGTGGGAATTCAGGAAAGGGGCTCCAGACCAAGGGACGTTACACTGAGATCTGAAGGCTGGGAAGGAGTTATTTGGGTGATGAGAGAGGGTAGAGCCTCCCAGCAGAGGGAACAGCAGGAAAGAGCATGGCCTTTTCAAGGAATAAAGATAGAGCCAGCACGGCGAGGGAGGAGAGAAAATCCAAGAGGGGAAGGTGGTGTGGGCTGAGGCTGGGCACTGGGGCAGGGGCCAGAGAATGCAAGTCATTTTAAGAGTCTGGAACCTTCTCATGAGGGTAGCAAGGAGGCACTCAAGAGTATGTGGCAGGGGTGGGGATGGCAGAGAGTGGCAATCAGAGTCATGTTCTTCAAAGATGAAAGTGACTGCTCCCAGAGTGAGTCAAACCTAGATCTCAGGAGACTAGGTAGTGGAGGGGAAAGTATGGAGGTCTGGGACAGGGCAGCACCAGAGTGGATGAAGGAAACCCCGTGTGGTGCATGGGGTGCTCAGTCAACGGTGATTTAATGAACGCATGAAGGAATGTATTTAAGAGGTAGAATCCACAGGACCAGGTGGTTGCTTGTGCACGGGGAAAGAAGAAGGCAGGACTCGGCCCATCCAGGTGGATGGGGTGACAGTCTCTGAGGGAGCAATCCCCGGGAGAGAAGGAGCTGGTGGGGAAGGGAATGAGTTCCGTGCAGACAAGGTAAAGGGTCCCAAATACAGGTGTTGAGGGAGCTGGCTGCAGGAACCTGGGGCTCGGGAATTTTGATCCTTGTTTGGAAGCTGATGGTATAAACGAAGTCTTAGAGGTGAATCGGCTTGTTTAGGGAGAGGGTACAGAATGTTATGGAAGAGGGCTTAAGGCCAGAGAGCCCTGGGAACCCCCAAATTAATAACTGGGGAGGGGGGAGGAAGAGCTGACAAAGGAGACAAAGGGAGAGAAGGTTCACCTGGTCAACTATCTGATTCAAGGTGACACAGCCAGGGTTTGAGCTCAGGTCTGCCTGACTCCAACCTGGGTGCTTTCCGGAGCTTTCTGCCCTTATGGAGGCTGACTTGCCCAGGCTCATCCCGCTATTGAGAGAGAATTTAGGACTCAAACCCAGAACCTTCCAGTTCCAGGCTCTGTCAACTCCACCATAACATGTCATAAGTTAGGATTGATTCTGATAGTTTGCACAGTCATCTTCCCATTTGTCATTTTGGATGTATTGTCTCGGCTGGGCCAATTCCTATGCTCTTGATTGAGGCGCAGCTGACCGCACGCAAGCCCTGGAAACACCCGTGAGCCCCTTCAGTGGCTGCTCTCTGAATCCAGAGTCTAGGCCCACTTGTCACTGTCGGTGACGGAACACCATTTCTGATGATACAGGGGACACGGAGAGGAAGACCTGGGCCCCCCAGGGAGCTCTACCACTGGGAAGCCGGTCTGGAGTCCTTAGCCTCGGTTCCCTCCTCTACAACATGGGACCAGAAAGGCAGGCGTGACGGGGTCATCTGGAGATTCTGTGAGACAGGCATCACACGGAACCTCAGCCTGAGCCTGGTACACAGGGCACATGCTCCTTCGGGGCGGCTCAGTTTCCACAGCTCAGATGGGCTGAGCACCCGCTGCGCTCCAGACCCTGCTGGAAACGCTTTCCGTGCATGATCTTACTTACAACAGACTTGCGAGGTGGATGATGCTATCGTCCCCTTTTGCAGGAGGGAAACCGAGGCACCGAGCGGTGCATGCCCTGCCTGTGGTCCCCCCGCTGGTACGGCGGAGATCTGCGGGTGACCTCAAATGGGCCTCAAGCGGCCCCTTACGTAAGGCTGCCTTTCGTTTCCCTCTCGGTCTGGGTGTGAAGGGAAGGGAGGGTGCCCGGTACCTGCAGGCTTCAAGCCATGGCAGATCTCGGTGTAAAACCTGCGATCGCAGCTGTCGCAGTAATGCCAGTGCTGGGCGTCGAACTGCAGCCCGTCCGAGAAGGTGTACGTGCCCTGGAAGACAAGGAGCATGCGCGCCGGTGGAGGAAGCCCTTCTGCCGAGAAGGACGGGTGTCACGGCGAGACGTGGCTTCCTCACCTGCTCGTTGCCACAGAGGAGCAGTGAGAGCTCTCCCAGTTATGGGGGGGGGGGCCGTGGCGGTTAGAAGGAACAGCTAGAGGGCTGGGCTCTGTGACTGGCACTCAAAATGTGGCCACTCTCCGCACGACGCGGGGCAGATGACCCCGCCCTCGGTTTCCTCGTTTGTAAAACTGCCCCCTAACGGTATATATTTAACGGGGTTGATTCGATGAGGCCGTGCTGGCAAAGCGTGTAGCACATTGCCCGGCGTGGAGTAAGCATTCAGTCATAGCTAAAACGGTCCACAGCCACCGGCCACAGCCCTTTGTCCACACATGTACATTCTGCTTCTGCTGCCCCAGGGCTGAAGGAATCCCCGGGACGCAGAGGTCGCATTGGCCTGGGCATCAGGAAACGTAGGTGGAAATTCCGATACTATTAATTCACCGTGTGGCCTTGGGTAAGTCACATCCCCTTCCTGAGGCTTAGATTCTCCAAGCTGTAAAACAAGGAATGCTCCTTAACCTTTTTAAGGTGGGCATTAGTGAAACCGATGAGAGCCGTAGGTCTTTCCCCAGAGAGAACCACAGTCCCAGATACACAGCATTTTTGCATATAAAGCGGGAGGTTCTACTGACCCCCTGAAGTGTATGCATGGCCCATAAATCCCAGGGCGGATTGGACGGGTTAGATGACTTACGATAGCAGCAGAGGTGGTGGCAGAAGTACTAAGACCTAGCACTGAGTGCCTGCTGTATGCCAGGTACCGAGCACAGCACTTAGAGATACCACCTCATGTACACTCACAACCGTCCCAGGCGGTGGCTGGGGCTACTGTGGCAGGCTGAACGAAGGTCCCCCCCAAGATATCCACATCTACCTGCTGGAACCTGTAAAAATGTTGACCTCATATGGCAAAAGGTACTTTGCAGATGTGATTAAGTGAAGGATCTTGAAATGGGGAGATTTTCCTGGATTATCTGGGTGGGCCCAATATAATCACAAGGGTCCTTGTAAGAGGGAAGCAAGGGGGTCAGAGGGATAGAGGACAAGATGATGACAAAAGCAGACAGAAGGTGATGTGATGATAGAAGCAGAGGTCAGATTGATGCCTGGCCACCAGCCAAGGAATGCAGGAAACTTCTGGAAGATGGAAAAGGTAAGGAAATGGATCTCCCCCATAGCCTCTGGAAGGAACGCAGCACCACTGACTTATTTTAGACTTCTGACTTCCAGAACTGTAAGGTAATAAATTTCTATTGTTTGAAGGCACTGAGTTTATAGTCATTTGTTACAGGAGCAATATGAGGTACAACTATTGTCCCCAGTTTATAGGGGAAGTCATGGGCCCAAGGTCACCCAGTTAGTTAGTGGCACAATAGGATTCAAACTCATCATGGCCTCTCCAGGGGCCCTTCTGGATCCAGAGGAGTAGATCCCAGAGCCCTGGGAGATCGGTTGGAGGGCAGCAGAGGAATGGAAGGAGGTGGGCACCAGATGGAGAGGTCGGGGTGCTCTGCAGTGGGGGCTCTTCCTGTCCAAGGCTTTGCCCTCTGCAACCTCCCCTCCCCAGGCTGATCACCTTCACGACCAGTCCCTTTTCCCAAATGGCATCATGGCGGCTCCCGCTGGAGAAGTACAGGGTTCCTTGGCCATGAAACATGCCGTCCTTCATTTCTCCGACGTATTTCGTTTTGGTAGGGAGGATGTATTCGGCTACGCCCTCCATCCTGCAAGCACAAAGGGAAATCCGTAGACTGTGACTAGCAGCCGGGGCTGGCACAAGAGAGCAAGTGGGACCCTCACCCTCGGGGTCCTCAGGGCTTACTGTCCCAGTAATATTCTGTTCAAAAACAACATTTTGTTTTGTTTCCCTCAAAAACTCCAAAATGAGAGGGTCTGTGTTGGTGAAGGTGGGGGACGGGGCACAGAGTTTTGTTGGTTTGTTTTCCCCCTCACCTAGAGGCTGTCCTGGGGTTCACACATCCCATAACACAGCCCTTGGTAGGCCCAGAGTTGGGAGGGATGTGCCCAAAGCCACACAGTAAGCTCTGGGAAGCAGAGATCTGGGCCAGATTTCCTGGCAGCTGGTTCTGTGTCCTCCCTGTCCCCCATGACCAGCCCACCCCTGTCCTTTATACCACTTGTAGAGAATTGGGAAAAGGATGAGATTCAGACAGAGGACATAGGCCTGAATCTTTCTTCACCATTTCCTAGATGTATCGTCTTGGAGACCTTCCTAAACCTTTTTGTTTTCCTTCCTTCCTTCCTTTTTTCCCAACAAATATTTACAGAGCAGCTACTACATATCAACACCTACCGCACGTGCTGAGTTTTTGGTCTGCTGGGTACAACAAGGTCACAGCAGTGATCAAGGCATATGCTGTCCCTGCCATCAAGGGGGCTCATGGTCTAGTGGGAGGCACAATTAAGCAATTGTAGAATATGTGGGAATTGTCATGTAGGGGGAGGCAGGCCGCTACAGGAGCCCAAGCCAAGGACAGCCAGCTTGACCAGTTGACCACTTACTTCATGTGTGAAATGGCTGAGATTAATGCCTAAGGTCAACCCAGATAATGTATAATGATTTTCCTAGTAAAGGGCCTGACATCCAGTGAGTGCTGAAGAATTATCTTTTCCTTCATTTCTTCATTCCTGTATTCCTTCTCTATCCTTCCCCCACTGGCTGGAAGTCAGCCTGAACTTCTGCAGGCTTTTGTTTGTACTTCTGTTGGATGCTCAGCAGTCTCTGCCTTGCATTGTAATTGTATTCCTCATATTCACTATTTAATCAAAGTTCTGGAGAGGAAGACCTTGGCATCCTCAGTTCTTAGAATCATGATTCTGTGCAAACAGGTGCCCTGTAAACAGCTATTATGTAAGGAATGAAGGGAACTGACCGAGGGGATGAAGGAAGATGCCACTGAGGCAAGGCCCCGAGCAGAAGAGCGCTGTCTGTGGTCAAGGCACAATTTCTGAGCCATGCAGACCTGGGGCCGCCAAACCTGAGCCAGGCCTGGCTCCACCTCTGTGTCTGTATGACCTTGGGCCAGCTCCTTCGCCTCTCTGAGCCTGAGTTTCTCATCCGTAAAATGGGGATAATGGCAACACTCCTCCCCAAAGTTGAGATAATTGGATGAAATAGTAGCTATGAAACAATAGCAGAATGCCCCAAATACAGTAAGAGCTCAAACACGATGTTGTGTTTATTCTACTGCAAGACATGGGAGGTGACAGAATGCCTTTTCTCCTTTATGACTTTACTTGAAATCACAGATACCATTTCTGTCTCCATCAAAACCCTTCTCTGAGGTTAGACTCCGCTCCCTTTTTTTAAACTGCAAACTGGATGTCAGTGTTCAGACCTTCTACAGACATCTCCAGCTCACCCCAAATGAAATTCATCCTCTCTTCCTCCAAAGCAGCCCCTCCTCAGAGTTCTCAATTTCCACAAATGGTACAAAGCCTAGAGTTGGGCACTGTACTGGGACTGGAGGCAGTCTCTGAGTGGGACCGGGAGCCAATCAGTTGCCAAGTCCTGGCAATGAAAATTCCCAAACTTCCACATCTTTGTCTTTCCTGCAGCCCCCCTGCCTCTGCTTTGGTCCAGGGTCCTGCTGCCTTTTACTAAGACAACTATGGGCTCTGATTTGATCTCCCCATCTCTACTCTGCTTCCCTCCCTCCTTTTTCCCCTTCTCTTCCTCTCTCTTTCCTTCCCTCCCATTTTCCTTTTATTCACTCAAGGCAAAAAGCCTTCATTATAAATTAAAAGTAAGTTAAAAAGAACAAAGAGATAAAGACTCCAATCCATAGTGAGGATACAATTTCATTCATTCATTCATTCATTCATTCATTCAGCCAACATTTACTGAGTGACATACGTGCTATGAAGAGGGATACAGAAATGAAATAAATTAGATTTCCTAATGTCCAGCCCTACCAAGGAGCTATCTATCAGTGGCTCCCCCCATTCACAGAATTGTGCACAGTACTCAAATCTCTCTATGCCAGAACACAGAGCCACCCTAACAGCGCTGGCTCTTACTCTCCTCTAGACACATCCAACATTCCAGTCAAACTGAACAGCCTACTCCTCCCCTTGTAAGTCCTCTGAACTATTGCTCATGCTGTTCCCTCTGCCTGGAAACATTTTTCACCTTGCATCTCTACCCACCTAAAACCCAACCTTCAGGGCCCATCTCAAATATTTTCTCCTCCAGAAAGCCTTCAAGGACTGCCCCAACTGGATGTGTCCTCTGTAGGAGCTCAGCAGCAGGGTTCCATAGTAGAAAACACATGAGCTTTGGAGTCAGACCCGGGTTTTGATCCCTGATCTGCCCAATGCCAAGTAGGTGACTTTGAGCAAGTTATGCAGTTACTCTGAGCCTCACTTTTCCCATCTGCAAAATGAGGATGATATCTATCTCACAGGGTTGCTGTGAGGAGGGGAAGATTGAGGCAAAGCCACTATCTGAAATTATCTTCTCATTTCTTTGCTGATTGGCAGTACACCAGCTAGACTGTAAGCTCCATGACAGCAAGGATCTCGACATTTTTTATATTTTTATCCCCGTATCTAAAATTGGCAGATAGCAAACACAGACGTATATATGGAATGAATATATCTCAGCTCTGATGCTTATTAGATATGTGTCCTTGAGCAAGGCACTTTACTGCACTGGGTCTCCTTTTCCTGAACTGTAAAATGGGAATAAACAATCCTACATGAAGTGTTGTCCTTAAGGTTAGAAGGAATAAAGTTTGTCAAAGTGTCTGGTACAGAGTCCTTTGCAAAGGCAAAAAGGCAGCCGTCTTTTCCCAGTCACAGATATTCAAGACATAGTGAATCAGATGAGGCCCTTACCTCCCGTCTACATATTCCCCAATATATTGGCTCCCTGTGTACTCCATGGCGTCAGCCTCTAGCTTCCAGCCCTTGCGATCCTGGAGTCTCACTGCGTCCTGTCTCACTATGACAACCTAGATGGGCGGGGCCGACGCGAAGCCCCGCCCCCAGCGCCCGCGGACCTTCCAGGCACCGCGCACGCTCTGTGGCTCGCGGTTGGGCAGAGCAGTGCGCCTGCGTGGCCCGCTGCGCAGGCGCAGGCGCGAGGTGGCCCTTGGCGGTCGAAAGGGGAATTCAAGGAGACGGGGGCGACGCGTTTGCGGGAGCCTCCTCGGGTTTGGGGCTACCGCCATCATGCCGGGGATAGTGGAGCTGCCTACTCTGGAGGATCTGAAAGTGCAGGAGGTGAGGCTCGTTCGGAAGCCAGGCAAGCGGGGCATAGGGCTGCAGCTTTTCGGGCCTGGGCCCAGCCCTGCTGCGTCTCCCTGGACTGTGGGCCCCGGCTCCCCCCCACGCAGTGCCTCCCCCCACCCCCCAACACAGACACAGGTCGCTCCCGGACGCCTCCTCCTCACCTCCGGGAATCGCCTCACCTCCACCCCATCATGCAGTGGCTCTGTAGCATTGTCCTCTCCTCCCCCACTCTGACCCCCAGCGATCTGCTTGTCATTTACGTGAATAATAGTGGTACTTTTGTTAAGCACCAGCCAGGGCCACTTTTTACTTTAATGTCCCTTAATATTCAGCCTTCCCCGCGAAGTGAATATACAACCCCGGGTTTTTACAGTCGAGCGAGAAAGACAGTCGCTTCCAGGTGGCCTCATCGGTGTGGTGTTGGAGTGGAGCTAGGAAGCGGAAGAAAAAGGAGATGATACTGGAGAGTGGAGTTGCTCACAGCTCTGGGAACGTGTTTGGTAATAGGACATTCATTTATTCAGGCGATATCATTGAATAATTGCCATATACACAAACACCAGAGAATAAGAGAGATGGTCCCTGCCCTCAGAGAGCTTATAATCTAATGGGGAGACAGACATAACGAGGCAGTTACAATATGGTGAAGTTTGTGCTATGAAGTGAAGACGAGACAGTATATACAAATTATAGCAAATATGACCAAGCCTTGTCTAGATGTCAGGCAGGATGCTAATTAATTACTTCACATCCATTAATTCATCAAATCCTGCCAGCAGCACCATGAAGTAGGATATTATTGGTCTCTTCATGTGAAAGGTGAGAAAACAGGCCTGGGGAGTAGAAGTCATTTGCCTAGGGTCATATAGCTAGTAAGTGGTGGAGCTGGACTGTGAATCCAGGTCTGAGTTTAAAACCCATGCTTTTAAACTCTTGTATTATGGTATGGGCAAAAGCTGAAAAGAGTGAGTGAGAAGGCTTAGCAGAACGTTTTGTGTCTGGGAGACAAGTAAGTGCTGTTTGATGTGACTCTAGGGTTGGTGGGAAGCTCAGCTATTGCTGAGCCTGGAGAGATGGGTACCTCGGACTGGTAGGACTGGGAAGCAGCTTCTACAAGGCCAGACTTATTTTATAAGTGAGGTGATGGGGAGAGGTGGAAGGTTTTAAGGCACAAGAGTGTCATGGCAGGAGTGGGTAGTAGAAAGTCTAGGCTACATAAAAGGAGAAGGAGGGCAACACTAAAAATTATGTGCCAGAAGTTATATCCCAGAAGTTAGGAAGTTAAGTTACTTTCATGACTTCACTTACTCCTAGATGCCTGTGAGAATGGCAACTGTTATTTTCCTCAGATGAAGAACTTTTTGCTATGTTCAGGGACTTTATAGTAAGTGACATTTATAAAGTGGGGGCCTCCAATATTCAGTCTTTGGTTTCTTGTCCCACAGTGAACCTGGGTTAGCCTGAGAGTGCTGTTTTTTTCATGGGAACTTTAATTTGGTTCAGCAAACATCTGAGGTTCAACTTCCTGCAAGTATTCTATATCTGGAATAAATTTGCCTTTAGCGTTCATACAGTTGAATTGAAATACAGATAATTACATAAGTAACTACAAGACAAAGTATGATTAAATGCTATGGAAGAGGGGCAGACATGGTTTAAGAGAAGAGAGCAGGATTTGAAGTTGGATCTAAATTCCAGGCCTAACTGCTCAGTTACCTTGATTAGTCACTTGTAGCATTTGCAGACATAGTTATTTTATTTGTAAGATGAAGTGATTCCAGCTGTATAATTCTCTGAGGCTATAAAGGGAACAGAGAAAGCATTTCTCGGGCATAATGTGAGACTTGGCTAAATAGCGTTTGAAGAATAGCATTTATAGGCCAAGACGGAGTAATGGGCTTTCTAAGCGAGGGTTAGATCTGAGCGAAGGTAAGGAGATGGGAAAATGCAGGCGTCCACAGATGGGGTTCTGGGGACAGTGAGTTCAATGTTCTGAGACAGCAGCAAGTCCCTTTTTGGAAGTGCCTTGGGTGAGAAGGCTGGATCCAGAAGGCTTTGAATACCCCGTAAAAAGTTTAGGCTTTATTCTGCTGTTAAGCCTGAATCCTTCCAGGGCTTTGTTGCTAATTTGTTTAAATGGAGTACAGTAAGAATTGGCCTTTTAGGAAGATCACTCTGGCAGCTCTGTGAAGAAATGGATTGATGGGAGGAAAAGAAAAGCAGGGAGATTAGTCTTGGTGGCTGTTGAAATAATGAGGAGGATATTAATGACCCCAAATAATTGGTGACTGTGCTTACAGAGCAAAAGAACAGATTTATCTGGAAGTCAGACTTAGCAGTGACTTAGGTATCAGAGGCAGAGAGGGTTGAAGAGTCTGTCAGATTTGCAACCTGACAGTGGGGCTGGGGAAGCCAGAGGGAGCAGATTTGAGAGACAAACACGTTTTGGACCTCGTTGACTTTGGAGTTAAAACACATGCCTGTGGAAGAAGCAGTCAGAAGCTTAGGCTGGAAACTCCCTGTACACATTGACAATTTTGAGTAGAAATAATAGTTAATATTTATGATGTGCACTTATACAATTCAACTGTTCTTAATATTTTTATATGTGTTAGCTCATTTAAATTCTCAGTAGTCCTGTCAAATAAGTACGATTATTCCCCGTTTTCCATAAATTAAGTAAAATGGAAGGCACAGCATAAATTAAAGACTGTAGAAAGAGGTGCAGACATGGTTTAAGGAAGAGAGCAGGACTGGAGGATTGGTTGTAGACTGTAAGACTTTTTCTGCCTCCCTTTTCACACCCGCAGATTGTATAGACCGGTTGTGTGGGGAGGCTGTCATGAAGGTAAATGAGGAAGATGCTGGAACTTTGTGTTCTTTGAGGCAAAGGGAGGTGAATGAATTTGAGAGGATATTCACAGTAAGCAGCTATGAAAGGATGTTGTTTCTGTTGGAACTCATCAGTCTTCGTGAAGAAGCAGGTGAGGGGAGACTGTGACATCCAAAATCCTTTGCCACCTCAGTGAAGGTGATCTCGTGCAAAAAGGCCTGATTGAAGGTCAGAGTCTGTGAATTCCAGTTCTACAGTTGCCACTGACCTGCTGTGTCATCTTGAGCACATCTCTTTCCCCAGGAAAGAGATTCGGTGAGTGGTTATTGTCTTTTATTTTCCTGTGGCAGAGCATATTTTATATGCTCAACAACATGGGTGTGCCTAGATTTTGATAAGACCTCTACATTGGTAGGAAAGTCAGGCAAAGAATGCCATAACTTTTTTGGACGCGATAGCTGTGAAGGCATTTGAGTAATTAAATCAGCCATTTAAAGGTCTTTAAGGCATTTGTCAAGGAAGTAAATATAGCTAACTTAGTTTTTAAAATATATTAAGCTTTAAAAGTTTGAATCTTGATTTTTTTTTTTTTAAAGAGGGAGCACGAGTGCATGTGTGCAGGGGGGAGGGGCAGAAGGAGAGGGAAAGAGAATGCCAAGCAGGCTCCACGTCCAGTGCAGAGCCTGACACGGGGCTCGATCGCACAACCCTGAGATCATGACCTGAGCCAAAATCAAGAGTCAGACGCCTAACCGACTGAGCCACCCAGACACCCCTGAGTCTTGATTTTTATTCTCTCAGCTCTTTACAGGTAATATAGCAAGCAAGAGTATACCCCTCAATTAACCTAAATAAACTCTTACTATAAAAAACTGTAATACAAAATCTTACAGAGTTTTAAACAAATTTATTAGACTTGTCATGGCAGATTTCACTTGTATCATAAGTTTGTCTTTGCTTTGATAATTATAGCAGTTGTAATGTTAGTAGACATCATCCTAACTTTATTCTCCTCTTCCGGTAGTGTGTAGATGAATTACTCTCTTCATCTTTCCTTGCGCCATTTATTTTATTAATAATTTAACCTAAGCTGTGTGAAATTCATAAAAAATAAAATTATAGGGGCACCTGGGTGTCACATTTGGTTAAGTGTCCGACTCTTAGTTTCAGCTCAGGTCGTGATCTCAGGGTTATGAGATCGAGCCCTGTGTCGGGCTCAGCACTCGGTGGGGAGTTTGCTTGAGACTCTGTCTGCCCCTCCCCTCCATGCACACTCTCTCTCTCTAAAATAAACAAATCTTTAAAACATAAATAAAATTATAAAATTTTTAGCACTATAAAAATAATAATTACATTATTCTTACATGAAAATCCTTAGTAAAATATTTATGAATCAAATCCAATAATATCTTAAAGCATAATACACTGTGGCAGACTAGATTTTATTCTATCTATAATGGGAGAGTTTTGGAAAATCTGTTAGTGCTCTACAGTTACAGATTAATGAAAAAGAAACTCGAAATTTCAGTCTTTCCAGAAAGAACAGTAAAGCAAAGCCAATTCAGAGTAGAAGGAGACTTCCTCACTGAGGAATATCCTAAGAACTATATCCCAGATAACAACAGCAAATGTTGTACCAAACTGTGCTTTAAAGTCTAGAAAAAGGCAAGGATGCCTACTGCCATTGCTGTTCATCTGTATTATCCTAGAGTTCAGTCAAAGCAATAAGAGAGGAAAAAAAGAGGAAAAAAAGATACAAATATCATAGAGGAAGGGAGGTAGTTTTTACTTGTAAATGGAGGTTTTTTTCTGTTAACCCTCATTAGTTTTGTATCAGAGCTGACAGGAGTTCAGTAAGATCTGGCTAGAGAGGAGATAGAGTGTACAAACAAGCAGTAACCAATTTGAAAATCTAATAGAAAAAAAAATCCTATTAAGCTAGTATCAAAAATGTTAAAATACTGCGGAATTAAACAGAAACGCGCAAGGTTCCTATATGATAGAAACTGTAATTTTAACCAAAGAACATAAGAATGACTTGAATAAGAGGAGGGACATACTTTATTTTGGTGAGAAGGCATAATTCATGTAGTCTTGTCTCTTCTGTGAGTGTTGGATCCCCGGTGCCTGGCACATGATGAGCACTCACTAGCTGCTTGTGCGAGACACTATTTTGGGTGCTTGGCGAGCCACAGTAAACATGACATTTAATTATAGTTTCATTTAGGGAGAATTGATATCTTTAGTCTCGGATCTCTGTTGAAAAAAATCCCTACCCTCTTGGAGCTTATATTCTAGTGGTCACACACACAGTGACCATTGATGATAGCTTTTATAAGGTCAGTAGAAAAAGATCCTCTGAGGAGATAAAATTTGAGCAGAGACCCAATATTGTAAACATGCTCGTTGCCTTCTAATTTAATACATGACTAAGCTTTGTGTAGTTCCAATGCAAATTATTGGATGAGGGGGTTCATCTGAAAGAACAGCCAAAGTGATTTTGAAAGGGAAGAATGATGAGGAGGGTCATCCTCCCAGCCAGCCAACGTTCTGACTTATAGTAATGAAGATGTTGTGATATGGGCCCAGGAAAAGGTAGTACACAAAGGAGGCCGGCAGGACCCTTGCTGCAGCAGCAGTTAGAGGGGCCCTGGTCTATGTGCAGTCCCCTGTGAGCGAGCTGTAACTACACTGTTTCTCAAGAAAATGTCCAGGGAGGTAAGTGAGAGACTGACATAGTTATGGGGTGGCTACCTTGGATATAGTCCGTAATTGTAAAAAATTCAAAAATTCTAGTACTTTCTTATTAGTAATAACTTTCTGGACTGGATGCTGTCGTACTGATCCTTTCCAGTCTCATCTTCTGTGATTCTGTAGTCTTCTGGGAAATTTATCTATTCTATCACTTTTATTCCTGGAAAGGAGACTCATCAGAGCTCCACAGAGTTGGGCCCTCCATCATCCTTCAGAGCTCCACTTTTCTCTGTCAGAGAGCTAAGGGTTCTGTTAGGGCTGCTGTTTCCTTATGTCTAAAATGGGGAGTTTAATGTCAACCTAATGAGATTATTGTGAAGGCGTAGAAAATCACACATGTGAAAGAGCCTTTTGATCTCTAAAGCAGCGGAGATCACAAAGGATTATTATGACAGCCCCCTGTCTTTAATTTTCGTGGTGGAGGCAGACCAGTGCTACCTTTGTGTTCGCTCTGTTTTGAGCAGCAGGAGGTGAAGATGAGGAGTGATATCCTGGTCACAAATCTGTGGTCTGTCGCCCGTTGTTCTTTCCCCAGGTGAAAGTCAGTTCTTCGGTGCTCAAAGCTGCCGCCCATCACTATGGAGTTCAGTGTGATAAGCCCAACAAGGAGTTCATGCTCTGCCGCTGGGAAGAGAAAGACCCCAGGCGGTGTTTAGAGGAAGGCAAGCTCGTCAACAAGTGTGCTCTGGACTTCTTCAGGTAACGATTCTTTCACATCAGTGCTGAGGGGCTGAAACATCTAGGTATATGTATCCTAGTGAACGTCCAGCTATTTAAGTTTTAGTAGGAAATGCAAGACCTTGAAATCAGATAGACCAGAATAAGCCCACAGTAAATGATGCAGTTATTTGTGTTATTTGTTTTTATTATTTGGTGTGTTCTTTAATATCCATGAACCTTAATTTCCAAATTATAGAATAATACCTATCTTATTCAGGATTGTTATGAAAAATCTGTGAAAGTACATAAAACAACTCAGCACAGTGCTTGCTAACAGGTATTCACTAGATTGCGGTTACTACTCACTCAGTTACTAGCTCACTCAGTTATTATGGAGAGAAAAGTGTGTACAGAGTCAAGGTATTAAGTAGGCCATTATGCTTGATACTACAAGTAAAAAAAAAAAAAAAATCCAGATTGTAATTGTAGAGAAATGTTTTGACAGACTCTATTAAAAGGGACAGAAGCTCCACTTGAAGGGAATTGGCTCGTGTAACAGTAAAGTCCAGAAATAGGACTGGGATTGGGCAGGGCTGGAATCAAAGGGCTTACATAATTTCTTAACTACCTGGTATCTTTTTGCCTCTCTTCTCCTCCCCCGATCTCTGGGTTCTGTTTTTCTCTGTCAGGTTCATTTTCAGAGACTCTTTCCTTGCTGTGGCAGAAGTGGCCACGAGCCACTCCACGCTGCTGTGCTGCTTGCCTAGTAGACGTAGACCAGCCGTGCCAGTTGTCCAGTGGTATGAGCAGGGCTCCCTGGACTGAGTCTCGTTGGCCTGGCTGCTTGATTTCATATGTATATCTTTGAATCAGGTGTGTTTCAGGAGACAAAATGCTGTGCCTGTTCAGGACTAAAGTGGGGAGTAGACTTAGATTCATCTAAACCACTTTGCTGAGAGATAGGGAGGGATTGTTCCCCAAAGGGAAATTGGAAGGGCATTGCAGAAGAATGAGGACTGACTGCTGGCTAGGCAAAACCCACAGATGTCCACTACAGTGACGGGAGAGGGAAAAGTAAAATTTCCTTCGCATAATAACTGCTTTCCTTCTTTCTTGCTTCTGCTGTCTTTGTCCATATGCAAAGACATTTTTGTGTTTAAAGTCATAGTGTGTGGTTTAAAATTCATTTTTCACTGAAACTATTGGGAACGTTCTTTTGCATTGCTAGATTGTCTTTGTGATCATCATTTTTAATGGCTGTATAATATCCCACCGGTAGGTAAACCAACCCTAATTTACCTGACCAATTCCTGTTATTAAACATCATTTTGGAGCGCCTGGGTGGCTCAGTCGTTAAGCGTCTGCCTTCAGCTCAGGTCATGACCCCAGGGTCCTGGGATCGAGCCCGCAGGAAGCCT